GTGGACATAAGCTTGTGGAAAATACAAGAACTTCTCAAGTGAGCAATACCCCTCGGTAGAAAGCAGGTGATGTTCTTCATACTGGACCGATATTATCGGTACAGATAATGTTCAAATCGTCATGAGTCCAAATATATCCCACGCGCCCTGGACGCAGATGACGTGGCAAGAATAGCCAATCACATGATCTGAAAAGCAGCCAGACTTTCAAGCGGCAATTGATTGGTCAGCATCACACATGTCAATCAACGTGTCAGTATGAAACGAGCGCCTATGCACTCTTGAAGAAGTTGTCCTGGCCATTGGAGCACCATGCCTGAGCCTAGGGAAGCGCAAATATAGCGGCGCTAAAATAGCCTATGCATATACGGGAAGAATATATATAATGATGCTCAGCTACTCGTGGGAGATGCTACTACGAGATTCGCACACTGATTTAATCCTACAAAACTTTTAAGCTCAGAGGCTACCATGTCCCCCATTCCTCGACATGCTGTTAAATTCACCCAGAGAATTCGCAACTCTATTCTACGTAATCGTACCCTGACCCTCATTGAAACAGCTACGGAGAAGCCCGACCTGGCGCATTTCACCATCGCCACCCTCAAGTAAGCAAAATGTCAATATCATGAGGTCATTACTTCCAAAAACTTACCATTGCAGAAACCCCTCGCACACGAGTCATACCGACCTCAAGGCCCACGCTACAGCATTATTAGCAACCGATGAACAATACAACAACAAGAAAGTCCAGCCGGTTCATATCTATCATGATGAAGAGGGGCACTATACTGGCCATGTTCTGTATGCTGAAAGAGATATGAAACCGTCGGATGAATAAACTACAGTACTATGATGATGTCTCAAACACTTAGCTCCATATTATGTCAGAACGCAATTATTATCTATGTTCGCTGATGCTCATCCTCGTCCTTTGTCAATACGAAATTTTCCTTCACAGCTTTCTCGGAAAACTGTTTGCCCAATTTATGTCATCAATGAACGTCGGACACTGTTCAGAGAATCCAGAGTTTTAATATTTTGAGGGTCGGTTATCACAAATCGTCTGTTACATCCATTGCGCTCGGATGGTTGACCATGGTGCATGATTTTGCTGCAAAGGGCTCAACTTCTTGCTATCATATGGCACCTTAGCTTGTGTTCTCCAGGATTGTGGGCATAAAGAGGCAGGCGTTTGGGAAGATTCAGCACCATATTGAATACGTATATATGTATTTTCGAAGACAGATACACCGTAAATTCAGCTATATAAAATCTGACAATCTGGAGCTACTCTGTGCAATAATTGATGTTGTAAGCCCAAACGCCGTGATGCCTTAATGACCATCTGCCCGGCTCAAACAATCTCATATACAGGCACTGCTTTCACCTTCTTTACCTATTTTGCGATATTCTCTACGAACTGACGTGCGATGCCAATTTTTATTCCTCTCTCGATGAAAAATTTTGGGTCTTAGTCCTTGTACAATTGCTCGAGATCAAGGCCGTTCTAGAGCATCACATCGCACGTTTGTCGAAATGCGGCTTTGACGGTATCCCCTTCGACAGTCGACACTAGCTATTCAGTGTACTCCTCCACGGCTATGTCTGTTGAACCCGGGATCTCGAGGGGGCTCAGAGCCGTCAAGTCAACCGCCGCTTTAGAAGCAGAAACATCTATCCTGTGAACGGTAGACTGTAAGGGTAGGATATTAATATTAATAGGGGATATAGTGGTCCAGTCCTATCGACGTGACTTTGCGCTTGCCTTTGCTGTGTCTCTCTTGCTCTCCCCTATATAATTCGTCGCGTACGGCTTCAGGCACAAATTTATAACTTTGCAGAACCCCTATCCTATAGTACCGGGTGTAGTGAGCTTAACTGCAAGGCGGCTAGAGTCTTTTAGTATAGGCAGTATTTTGACGCTAGACCTTACTATAATTGATTTTCTAAGGCTAACTGTAAGCCTTTTTCCTTGTACGATTAAGTTTAAATTTTAGGATATTTTAATTTAGAGTATCTACTATCTCCCGTTTTAATTTAAGCTTCTACGCCATGCATCAGTCTTTGATATCAAGAAATATGCATTGATCCACTTTGTGGGGCCGCTCCGCTGTGCTGAATACACCCCGCTTCGCCTTAATAGTGGAACTGGTAGCGGTGAAGACGTCGTGATTAAGCTAGCTAAGGAAGCGGAACGCTACCTTGGCTTCTAGCTAGATAAAAAGCTGTTTTTCAAATATCACCGAGAGAAAATCTCGCTAAGGCTTCTACTAGCCTGCGGGTATTAAAATCGCTATTAGGGTCTACATAGGGAGCTTCCCTGCTTACTATGCGAAGACTTTACTAAGCAATTATTATTCTATAAGCTCTTCTAGGTGTGTAAGGCTAGTTTGAACTATAATAGTAGTTATTAGCAAAACAATAACTAATTGCTCGGCCGTTCGCTATACTATAATATTAAGCTATATATACTATTAGTAGAGCCTTTCGAATAATAGTAGCTACTACTTTAAGCGTAGAACTCTCGCTTATACCGATATCTATCCTTATAACTAGAATAGTAAATAAGGTAGCGCTTCGAATCCGTATAGGCCCTGCCTATATAGTGCCGAAGTGTTAGAGAGTAACTACTTGTACAGGGTAGAAAGCCTGTCGACTAGGTAGGAAGATAAACGTCAAGTAAGGAAAGCAAAACACTGTTTCTTGCTGTCATAGATCTCTCTATAATCCTCAATTTATATACAAGCTTCAACACTTTTCCTATATAGCCAAGAAAAGACGATAGATCATATTATAATATGCGGTCTGACGTGGCCCCTATGTGACAGAGGTAAGCAAAGGCTACAGAGAGGAGGGGTTCACGAATCCCTAATGGAAGGGCACCGAACCCTCAGGGTCTTGTAGGTTATGCATCCATGTTAGGGAGAAGTGGGGCTGTCATAACGAAGCCTGACCGATAAGGTGTCGAGCTGGCACCTGAGGCGTGAAGTTGGGAATAGCTTCATATTGCAATATCATATGACACGAAGTTAATACTCCCTAATTATTAGCGATTAAAGGTATAACGTGACTATTCGGGATATTTACTAATAGAGGCCTAAGCCTAGAAGAAGGGCGGATACTTAACGGCTTACCCGGATAGCTTAGTAGGCGAATAGGAGAGTCGTGTTATATACGCCTAGGCACCTTAGCGAGAGCCTCTAATAGTAGTTATCTCTAAGCGCGAGGAAGCAAGAAAGTAGTATACAGAAATACTAGGAAGAGGAGGAAGCTTAGTTATCTATATAGATAGCAGCGGCTATAAAGGCCGCGTAGGTACCAGAGTAGTAGTATAGGGCAAAGACTATACCTACTACCGCTCGTAGATAGGAATAGAGGGGATCTCTACTATCTATACCGTAGAGCTACGAGCGATCGATATAGCGCTGTTAGTTATTTATTAGCAATCAGCTATTTATTAGTAATTAGTTATTTATTAGTCAACTAATTAGTCAACTAATCATTCAACTAAACAACTAAACAAAGTAGTAATCTTCTCTGACTCCTAAGCGGCACTACAAGCCCTTCGCCGACCGAGGATACTATCAGGCTAAGTATATCTTATCTTAGCTATCTAGCATCTCTAAGCATTGAACGAAGCGGGATGTTACGCGCTGTTAACTATTCAACGTAAATTATACGTCATCGTAACGTACCTCTCTCGTAAGCTCCGATGATCTATCTCGCAATCGTACTATTGCCTGCTCTAGCCTTACATAGGCTCGGATCTATAAAGTAGACTGAAGACGTATATAGTTAAAGAGCGCCTAGTTAGTCGACGAAGTAGTTATATAATAACTACTAAGTGTTCCTCCTATTTATAGGTATATCCTTATACCGTACTTGTTAGAGAATAACTACTTGTATTTTAGAAAGCCTGTCGGCTAGATAGAAAGATAAACGTTAAGTAAGGAAGGCAAAACACTGTTTCTTGCTATCATAGATCTCTCCCTAATCCTTTATTTATATACGGGATTCAATACTTTCTTATATGACCAAAGCAAAGGCGATAGATCATATTATAATATACGGTCTAATATAGCCTATATATAATAAAGGTAAGCAAAGGCTATAGGGAAGAGAGGTTCACGAATCCCTAATAGAAGGGCACCGAACCCTTAGGGCCTTATAGGTTATACATCTATATTAGGGAGAAGTAGGGCTATTATAACGAAGCCTGACTGATAAGGTGTCGAACTAACACCCAGGGCATTGAGTTGGGAATAGCCTCATGGTGTAATATAACACAATGTTTATGGCCAAGCTCCACATTTGGGGAGTAGCGGGATAGCGCCAAACCCCAGAATTCAGATTTTAGTATAGCATCATTCAATTTTTCTTCGAATCAATGCGTTAAATGAATGGAGATTATTGTAGTCAGACTTAAACAGGGCCAATTTTCAAATGTTTCATAGAACTGTGGTATTCAGGTGGTAAAATCATTTTATGCCAATCAATTAAGCCTGCAAGGTTTCAAAGTGCCTGGTCGGTAAAACTTGCAACTACCGGTCTAAACGACGCAATCGGGACTTGTTTCCCGCAAGGAAGCATACCTCCACAGAATTCACGTAAGTGCAGAGCTTCAAACATATAAGCCAACAATGTCCTCGTTCTCGCCAACCTTACTTCTGTTTTTGGATTAAACAGCCATTTACGCTCTACACAATATGGTATCTCAAGATGTTGAGACTGATCCAGTGGACCAGACACCAAAGACAAGCTCTGTGTCTCAGAACTGGATTTCCCCCTCAGAACAACCTCATCTCCTTGTAGGTCTGCAACTTCAACTGGAGGAGATGGTACTGACAAGGATTACAGGATACGGACGTGATTCAAGCCGAAAATGAAGACAAGATGACACCTTATCTGTTCTTCTTAATTGCTTTGGTCAGACATGTTGTATATAAACACCGGAGAAACGACTAACAAGTCTTAGGCAGCTCTTGGTGGATTTTTATATGGCTATGAATGATACTGGAGTTTTTGGCGTTGCACTTCCTTATGTTGGAACCGATTTTGGTTATGCGCTCTCTTATCTTCAACAAGAGATTGCGACCGCGGCCACTACCGTTGGCGCAATTTTCGGGGCTGCCATATTGGGCCTCTTCGCCGACAGATGGGGTCGCAAACCCTGCTTGCTTATTTCCGATTTACTTTTTACAGCCGGCGCTATCATTATCGCATCGAGCTTTTCGCTTAGGCAACTTGTTGCTGGTCGTCTAATTCTCGGGGTCGGAGTTAGTGGCGCGGCGGTAATCTGTCCTCTTTATATAACGGAACTGGCTCCAACTGCCGTTCGTGGACGTTGTGTTGGCACAAATAGTTTCTGTATTCCTTTCGGTCAGACTGTTGCTGTTGCTATCGGTGCAGGATGGAGAATGTCAACGGCAACTAGAGAATCCTGTTTGGTCTTGGAGTTGTACCCTCAATTCTGCAGCTCGCTCTCATACACGAATTACCGGAATCGCCCTGTGTTCTTATCCCCCGTGACCAAGATGACGAGGCTCGAGAAGTACTCAAAGGAATTTACAAGTACGCTTCGCCTGAAATAGTTGAACTAAAGTTACGGGTTGTCAAGGATCATATTGCTGCGACTATGGCCCTGCAACGCTCGACCACCTTCTGTCAACGCTCTCAAAAGCTATAGACTCACAAGCCTTATCGCCGTTCAATTTTCATCGTCAGCTTTATCTAGATTTTTGGTCAAGTCACCGGATATAATACTCTTCTTTACTACGCTGGAACTCTGTTTAAACTTCTGGGTCTTTCCAATGCAGTCATTAGAGGGCTCATCCCCTCGATTACCAACACGTTTTTCCTTTTGTGTGGCATAGTTATGGTAGATCGGATCGGTCGCCGTGGGCTATTAATGAAATTTGGCCCTATTATGGTCATTGGTCTCATCTGGTGTCTTGTTGCTTTCTACTACATATGTAAGCCAACGGGTCATTTCCTGATCGAGGGCCACACCTATCCCTAGAAGGAAGTTGGTTTTGTTTATAGCCGGGATCGTTATTTTCGTGTCCGGCTTTGGCTCAACCTATGCACACCTATGTTGGTTGGTACCAGTCTGAGTACCTCGCTCTCGAGACTTGCGCAGCGGGGAGTGCAATCAGCACTGCTGCAAGTTTTTCAGCAAATTTGGTGGTCGCTGTGTCCTTCCTCACCGAGTTAGTGTCTCCCGTCGTCCCCCTTCGCGGTAGTGAGGAATTCGGCTAATTCGATAAAAGACTCGAACAGATGACTCCCAGCGGGGCATACGGCCATTACCTTGGCTTCATCATCGTGGGCCTTACACTTGCTTACTTCTGCTATCCCGAGACTGGTAAGAACATACCCTTAGCCAAGACAAGAATCACAAGATTGATTACTAACACCCTCTTTTAGAAGGCTTATCGGTTGACGAAGCCTTCACCCTCTTTGACGAAGACTTTGGTGTCAAAAAATCCAAAGAGATGCGACGGAAGAAGATCCAAATGCAGGATAACTACAACATTGAAGGTCTGGAAACCGTGAATGGAGAGATGGACAAAAGCGAAGCATTTCATCAGGAGACCGTTGACCCAGTGAAATTGAATGGGACAGAGTATAAGGCTTCGGGCTGAAAGTATAAATTGTGCACATGTTTCGATATTATTTAATGGATCAAGAACTTGAAACTCGCTCGAGTTGAGTTGTTGATCATGATGATGGGACTCGATATTACTAGTGGTTTATATATGGTTTCATGCCTCATAGCACAGAAAGTTACAATTTTACGATACCTTTAGAGCTCAGTCTTGCTAAAATTTTATGAAAGTCTACTAGTGGTACCACAAATATCAGAGCAAATAAAGCAAAGGAGGATCCAAATTCAAATGTGCAATCTTCGTCTAATTCGACGCCTGGGCAAAGCAGTACCTTGAAATATCCCGAAATATGCGTAATGGAGTATATGACGAGTAATTATATGAAAAGGAAAATGAAAAAAATGAAACTGATGTTAGATAACTTGAAGGTCACTCTGAGCCATATTTGATTTACTCTATGTTGACTGTCCAAGTTCCCTCTGAAGATTTTTCCATGACTCAATTCCTCTGAAGGCAGCAATCTCTGGTCGGCTTTCCTTGCTTTTCATTCCTCGATCAAAAATCTCCATGGACACCCAGCCTTTGAACCCAATATCCACAATCCAGACTTTGGCAATGTCCGTGATAGGAAGGTATGCACCGAGGTCATGCTCATATGGAAATGGACGTCCATGGTTGGACCAACTGAATTCAGGAGCTTCACCCTCTGTATACCACGGATGATCTTTGGAGAATGGCGGGTCAAATCTTTCAGCATCAGATAATTGCACGAAGAAAATCTTTTCGACGGGAATTTCAGCCGTAAACCGATCTAGAGAGTCCTTGAGCGCCGCATCTGCTTCAGCAAACTTTCCAGATGGGGCGAAAAGATCACCCCATAGTTTTGTGCCAATATGGAATGTGTCTAGACACAGTCCGAAATTCGGTCGATTGACCAACTCAACATACCGTAGCGCAGTCTCCCATGTGGAACAATGGGTTCCCCACGATAAGAACTCATATGCAATTGAGACGCGGGGCTGCTTAGCGTCGCCGATGGTCGCTAGATGCCTGAGGTCTGAGATAATAACTGCTTCATCGCCAACAGCGTCTGGTCGATAATTGGAGGGGATCTGCAAATATAGCGCTCGGAGTTTTCTCGCTATCTCAATCCAGCGCTCAGCCCTCTCTAATCTGCTGTTCAGTGGCGAGCGGTCCCCTTCATAGTTCTGAAACGAGGCCAGGGCTAGTATCTGCAAATTGACATTTTGGCATAGCTTGTTGACTCTTTCAGCGCCCTCCAACAAAGATAGTTTGTGTAAGTCGGAGTAAACTTCTAAATCAGAGTATATAATTTCAATTCCTGCGTATCCAGCTTCGGCAGCCGCTTTGATCTTGTTGTCGAGCGAATGAGATGGGTGTTGGCCTAAGGATAGGCCTGCGATGGCCAATTTGTTGGAAATCATTGGAGCAGATGAACGGAATTACATGAAATAGACAAAATATGGTCTCAATAGAATCCAAAATGAATTGGAAGCATTAAATATGGGACCTGAAGGACGAAGAATATATTCGACCCTACTCACAGAAGCGCGAAGAGTGCTCCACGTGAATCGGGTGTTTATCGCCGATCCCGTAAGGAAGATGATGACCGAGCCCGGCTCGAAGCGGACGTTTTTCCGCCCTCGCAACCCGAAAAATCTAGAATTATCGCCACAATGTCTTAGCTGACGACATAGAGCAAAATAATAGTAACCTTAACCTTTTAGCAAAAGAGCGACGAATGGAATGAAATAAGAATCGATGGCAATCCGCGAATCATTAGCCTGTGACGACAAAACGACGTATTCTAAGGAATGAAATGACCTAAGAAACTATTTCCCAGAGATTTGCACAGTATAATAAATGTGCTCTGAGTTTTTTTTTTTTAGCAGCAAATTCAGGAGGCAGCTCATCTAGCAAGTTGAGGCTTCAAGGCAACAAGATCTTCCTAATCGGGTAAGGTTGAGTATAGCCTAAGAATGGATCCACATTCGGCGGCCCCAGGTGAAGCCTGGGGGTTGACCTCCGCAGATTATGAACAGATTGGATCTAACTGAATCTATTCATATTTGTCTAACTGACGTTCTGAATACTGATTGGGACCCAAATACAAACTGGATTAGAACTAAAGCACTCAACCATCTTTCACTAAATTGGCTTCTGAAATCTCGGTCATTTCTGAGGACCGACTAAGATTTATATTGCGCTTATGCGAAAATTGAAAGACCTATTTTTGTTGCAAGTGCATACTTTGGCAAATAATTCCATGTGCGGCTCACTATTCATGTATTCTGTCTGTACAGCTTGAAGTAGATGATGGTTCTTGAAGATTAGAACATCAAAAAGACAGGAAAATAGCATAATCGTACAAGTACTATCATGATGGATCGGTGCGGCTTCAAGTTTGAGAACAGGCATACTGAAAGCCCAAAGTAGGACATATAGTTCACCAGCGTATAACCTTTGTTGGGAAGTACTCATCAATGAGCTCCTTGTAGTATGGCTAGGGCAAATATCGTTAATTAATTGTTTAACAGGCTAAAAAGCTCAGTAGGATAACCTTACCTTCAACTTTTCAGGGTCAGGGACCTCATCACTCTTACTGTAGAGATCATATGGATTGAAGGCAAGTACCGCCTCCAACATCTTTTTGTCATGGTCATTCATTAATTCGCGGTACGCCCCCTCACGATGCCAGGGATAGAAAGAGTGGTAACGAATCATGGCAAGGCCTTCATCTGGGATAATTGACTGGTCCTTAACAGTATTGTAAAGATATTCATCATGACCCCAGGAGAGCATGACATTATCCAAACCACAACCTGGTGAATATATACCAAATTTGGTGCTGTATACTGGGTTGTTGAAATCTTCATTCTTATTCAAAGATTCCGTGCCAAAGATAATTCTATCGTCGAAAGCACATCCGACAGGAAATGTATCTCCGACAACATCCCACTGACCCTGTGCCCCGAAGAAGAAAAGGAGTTTACCCAGATCATGAATCAAACCGACAAGCTGCATCCATCTTGGCTTCCCCTCCTTCCGGATTGCTTCTGCAGATTGTAAAAGATGGGTCCTCTGGGATTCCTGTGTATCGGGATCACATTCGTCGATGAACGTGTTACGCTTCTCCATGGCGTCCCATACAGTCATATGGGCGCGAGTCTTGTTGTGGAAATCATTTCGAGCTTTCAGATTGTAGGCAACGGTTTGTAAAGTGTGCTGCTGAGCGTAAAAGCTTTTGACACGGTCACAAGCGTCGTTGAATTGGCGAAAGGTGTTCTTGTCTTTGGCTTGATCAAATTCAGACTTATCATAAACACCCTTATTGACTTGAGTGGCACTTGACTTCAAAACATTGACCGCGTCAACGTTGTCGGACGTGGCTTCAATGTTAGTTGGCGGGAGGTGCATAACGGTAGCTACCATGGTGGATTGATACAATGAAAGCGATTTAGCAATGATCTTTGAATGAAGAGGTTGTTCAGCAAAGATTTGTCTTGAGATATGTTCAAAATACGGGCGTTTAAATATTTCCAAGGCCGTGGGGTAATGCGCGTGATTTCATTGATCGGAGACAAGAATCCGTATCGTAACAAGATGGAGCATCGAGGGAAATATTGTATGAATCGGTTCGCAACTTCCGTCGGACTTGGGAAACCGATCGTCACTCGACGTGATGGTCATCCCTAGCCTTGGAAAGCTGTTTCCGTACTCAGCTGCACTCTCGTAACTTAATGTTGTTGAATGTCAAGTGGGTAAGATGCCACATAAATCGGAATATTGGCATGTTGGGGCATTCCAGCGAGGGTAATTGCGTGTTTCACTATTCGGTGGTTCGTAGAACACTCGGTTCAATTGCCGAGATACATGTAAGCAGAATAAGAAAAGTCTAGCCTTTGAGGCTTTGCTTCAGCAGTAGATAAACATGGGATACAAACGGCCAAATTATTGAGATGACCAACTTGAACTGACTAAGTTTCACATACACTCTTAAAATCGCGAATCGCATGAAAAATGCCCGCTTTAATTTAAACCCCACCTAGCTAAACTTTCAATACTTTGAATGAAATATGAATTATTTGATATTGGGAATATTTGAGTACATTGAATCCCAGATCTTCTATTCCAATACCAAAAGAGGCTACCGAAAGCCAATGAACCAGAACAAGTAGTCTCAGCGCTTGCTAGTTCTTGATAGCTCTTTCATCGAAAAATATTTTTTCGCCAGAAATCATGCTTCTTTGCAATGCCTGTCCAATTGCGACTGCCTTGACTGAACTTTGAAGGCTAATGGGCGTCTTTGTGTTCTGCAAGCAACACTCAGTGAATTCACGGGCCTCAGTGACAAAAGCTTCCCTAAATCGCTCATAATAATGCTGTGGTATTTGGCGCCTAGCACCAAAAGAGTCATGAACTTCAACATGATCCTTCCTTGGCTGTGAGTTGACCTTTACTGTGCCTCGTTCACAAATCAATTCAGTAATATCTTCCTGACCCGCCGCAATCATGCGAGAGCAGTAAAGGGCAGCAATCTTCCCACCCTCAAATTCAACGGTCGCGAGTGCGTTATCTCGATCACTACTCGCCTGCAGATCAGGATGAACAGCAGTAACACCTACAGACTGGAGGCTTTTGATCTTCGCATCATCTCCGAAGAACCATAACATGAGGTCAATGTCGTGGATAGAACAATCGACGAAAATTCCACCACTGGTCTTCGCATATTCAACAAAAAAGCCAGATGAGTCATATAAATCTGCAGTTTGGGAGCGGAAAACAATTGGCAGACCAAATTCGTTGTTGGCTATCCTGGCATGGGCTTCACGGTATGAGGCATCGAAACGGCGGGAGAAACCACACATGACTTTTTGATTCGGGTGAGTCTGTAGCGACTTTTCATATGCATCAACAACGGACTGGGCCTATTTTTATGTCATTAAATTGATGAGTCACGTGAATGAAAAACCCAACAGTCAATTCGCGAAGGTCTCACAACTTCAATGTCGATACTGAGAGGCTTTTCGCACAGAACGTGATAGCCTTTATTGATGGCCTTGATTGATTGCTCAGCATGCACCGCGGTAACACTAGCTACTACAACGGCATCCAATTCTTCGTTGAGCATCTCGTCATAGTCCTTATAGACTTTCACGCCCTGGAGATTTTCAGCTCCCCATTTACGTTCCTCCTCGTCAGGTGTGCACACAGCAACTACGTGCGCACGAGCTGTCAGTTCGTGAAAGTTGACGGCGTGGCGTTTGCCTGTCAAATTTGTTAGCAGGTTGTAGCATGCAACATTTCTGCAGTGTAAACGTACCCATACGGCCCAGGCCCGCAATTCCGACACGAAGCTTTGATCCAGCCATTTTAAATAAATTGAAATCAAAAAGGAGTATATAGGATCGGGAACTGACTCTGGACTAACACATCTTAAATAGCAGAGTGTGCTTGAGTCAGCCAAATAGGGGTGGATTTTGGCCTTTTGGAGAGTCACTTTATACGTTCGGAGTTGGAAAGCCGAGTCCGAATTTCGTGTATCAGGGGATCGGCGACCATTTGCCGGAGGCTTGAAATTGACTGGAAATTACGATTATACGTCCGATTCGCGGCGACGAGAACTTAGTCAGCTTTCAACTAAACTTCATTTAGTTAATTTAAAAGCTAAACTCCAGACAACTCGACAACAGGAAGGAACCCCGGATTAGCTGACTCTAGGCTAATTACCCCGCAAGCGGACCAGATGCGGTGTACAGGGGATCTCCGCCACCCCGAATACAGCAACTTCCCCAACCCCCCAATTTTATTTCCTAACAACAACTTCCTTTTAATTGCACAAAAGGAGCCGATGCCGACAACTTATCGACTTTGAATGCTGAATATGCGGCCTATTAGGCTTCCAGTCAAAAGGAAACATGCCACGATGGCGTGTGTCTCTTGCCGTGAGAGCAAAGTTAAGGTAGGACTCCTGATGCATGATTTGTTGGCTGAATATATTGATAACAACAAGTATTAGTGTGATGGAATGGAGCCAGCCTGTTCTACGTGTATGAACAAAAGCCGGGAATGCTCTTATCAGGCGATTGACAAAAGAAAGTAAGAAATTTCGGGAGTCCACGAGATCGAATATGTACTCAAGTGATCATTCATCATCTAGACTGCCATTAAGGGTTGCGATTGAACTCTTGAGTGGCAGAGTTGGCCAGCTATGTCAGTTTATAACTGAGAGTGGACTGCAACCCCCGCAACTGCCACCCGAGAAGGACGAGGCGTTGAAAAGAATATTGGAAAGCCTTGGACATATCAACGAGTCAAAGTCAATCATATCACTACCTAACGAGCTCGAGACCAAGAAAAGTTCCGAAATACATGGAAGTTACGATGGGCGTTTACCTGAAATGTCGGCGAATCACATTGTGCCCAACAATTCCGCGTCCATAGCTCCATGCAGTGATAGATTGGCCGAGGGTATGAGCGATACAGGTGTTCACAACATATCTAGCTCCCCACTATGCGCACATAATATCCCTTTCGACTTTCCATTTGGTGAGGCCACGACAAACATTGCCCAAGGCAGCCCGAACAGCGTTCTCAGCTCTTGGGACTTGGATCTTGGATTCATGACGTGCATCAATCCTACAGCTAATGGTGCACAATACCTCTCTGGTTCGCCCCAGGGAGCAACTGCTATCGAGCAAGATGGGTTTGTAAATTTTCTCGAACCAACCGTGCACGATGATGATGAGACGCTCGCGGAGGAAACGGGAAGCAGTGAAGATATTGAAAAGCTTATTGATGAGGTTTCTGACCGAGTAGGAACTATCAGGATTGGGCCTGGGGGCAAGACACAGTTCTGCGGCCCAACGTCAACATTCAACCTGACGGGAACGATGGAGTCAGAAGAGTCTGAGTTGCAGTCCATAAACGAGGCTTATGCTTCAGAGTACTATGATCGCTCCGGGTCTAACCAAGAAATACCGTCAACACTGGAGGAGCACCTCATAAATCTGTATTTTTGCTGGCAAGATCCATTTTGCCACATCGTCGATCGAAATATGTATTCGGAAGCCAGAAGGAAATGGCAGGATATGGAGGACACGCCTTTCTATTCAGAAGCCCTGCGATATGTCATGTCAGTATCAAGTAGATTCGTGGAAAAAAGCGGAAAAGGGACTGACAAAATCGTACAGGTGTGTTGTTGGAAGCGCTTTCGAGTCTCGCTTCCATCCGGCTCTTGTCACATTCCCGAAGTCACTGGTAGACTTTCTTGGGACTCGAGTGAAATCGATATTGGAGCTTGAATTAGATGACCCTTGCGTGGCAACCGTCCAGGCATTGGTGATTCTTAGCAATCATGAGATTGGAAATGGCAAAGGCAGAAGAGGGTGGTTATTCAGCGGTGAGTTTCGATTTTGCTATTTGAAAGACAACTGGCTTTTACTAATACTGGCGGTAAGGAATGGCAATACGACTTGCTTTTGACCTTGCCTTGCACCTGGACATGTCAGATTATGTTTTTAGAGGTGACATCACATCGGCAGACGCTGAACTTCGTCGAACAGTATTTTGGGCTGCATATACGGCTGATCAGTAAGTCTCTTACATATACACATGTTTTTACGAGTGCAAGACTTAAAACGTTATAGTCAGCTTGGATTTAATCTCGGACGGCCTTCTCGTACCAGCATGGAGGATGTAACCGTTCGGAAGCCACAAGGTCAAGTGGGTCAATCGGAGCATTACCGGTGGGTGCCATATGAAGTTCAAGGTGACATCAATTCGACGACTGGCTTGTTAGATTGTACCGAAGCTGTGAGTCAGCAGATGGTTTCTCTCTGTGAGCTTATGGTTCCATGCGGCTATATATTGTGAGTTTGAACCAAACACCTGGGCACGTTACAAAGGCTCACAATTCAAAATAGATATGGCACATCAAGAATCTCAAAGCCAGTTCTACAAGAGCTTAACGCGAAAATTGTCGCTCAACTGCACATGTGGAAGTCCAACCTCCCGCCCTTCCTGCAGATCAATCTTGACGACTACACCTCGGCATATTTACCACATGTATTGCTACTGCAGTAAGTCAACTGATTTCACTCCGGCTACAAGCTAGATACTAAGTGGCTTTTTAACATAAAGCATGCAATACCATCAAAATATAATATACGCTCACCGACCATGGATGTCCAAAAATGGGCTCCAGCCAAACCCGCCTAAGGGACCGGGTTATCTCCATGCTCGTGAGATGTGTATAAGCTCAGCCATCGCCATTTCGAAAATACTTGTTCTCTATGAAACACGATATACCCTACGTCGCATTAATGTCAAAGCAGTCTCAATAACGTCTTCTGCCATTCTTTTACTTCTTTTCGCCGCTGTGACAAAGTATCCTCCCCATCCACAATCTGAGATCAAACAATACTTGAACTCTTGTTTCCGAGCGTTGGATGATTTTTCGCTGTCTTGGCAGAGCGCTCGACGAGCCAAGGATCTCCTTGTTAATTTACAGCACCAATGGGAAATTCGAACAAAATCAAGGAAAGACATCAAAAATCTCGAAAAGATTATTTATCTACCTCGAAAACGCCCTCGGGGTTCAAGCAGGGTATATAGAGTGATGCCCGTGGGACGGGAGGCATTTGCATGTCGTAGATACGAGCCAGAGATGGACATTTACGTAGGCACTGAGCCGGGCTTGATGCCTATGAATGATTCGCGATCAGGACTTGACAACCGCAACAAAGATTCCTTTGATATTGCGCCGGGCTGTGGCCTTGATGCGCCCTAGTTACCTCGAAATCAGATGATAATTCCCCGATATATCTGGCCTTTCGGAATTAATTTCTTTTGGGCGATGAGCTCTCCTGGCTCTAAGGGCCGGGTTAAGTTGAATGTTGATGTCGGGCTATAGAATTGAGGTTTTCCTCCTGGGCCTATTTTCAAGGTGCTAACTCCATCTGATATCTCATTGACGAGGATTTCGATATTTGTCGTATTGCCAGGCTCATCCACCAATGTCTCGTCATCATCAGCAATAGCTGAGTTGAGGAAAGATAAGACCTCGTCTCTTTCTACGGAAAGATGAATTGCTCAGCGGTGGCGGAATCGCATTTTGATAATCTAAAGAGGCAGATGTCATCATTCTAAGGCCCAGGTCCCAGCTGCTGAGAGTACTACTGGGACTCCCCTCAATAAGTTTCTAATGACCATCACCTTGTGGGAAAGGGAAGGTCCTGTATTAACTGGGAAGGATCCAGGATTCAAGTCTGATTTTGAATTACCGGCTGCTAGTGATCCGAGGTCAATCTGCTTTCCACTGGATCAGCGCCTAGAATCGGAGCCATATCGCTCGAGCATGATGAGGGGTCATCGGATCCATCAAATAACTATTCCCCTGTCCGATCGCTGGAATTCCATGATTCGGGATCTGTTTGACTAAGACCGAGGTTGTCTAATATTATCTTCAACGCCATCTCTCTTTTGAATGGTAGTCGGGGAGACAGGGTTAGCACCAGTTTCAGATACACAGGAAATTCAACTTATCTTTGTTTCTCTTTTGAAGCCATACCTTAACTTTACTTTCCCGACAAGGAGAACTCGCCATTGTCGCATGTTTCCTTTTGCTGGGAGGTTTCATAGACCGCACCCTTGACGCTTTTTTCACGTATACCTTATATATTTATTTCCGGTGGTGAATTTCACCAGTGGCCTCCAAAGAGATAAACTGTTTGCCAGCATGATGGGCTGAACAAGTTGTGAGATTGGGGTAAACATGGGGATCATGTTTGCCACGCAATCAGCCTCGGGAGGCAAAAGCGGGGGAGGGGGCGTTGTTCCTTCATTGATTGGCAGCCTGATTTAGCCAGTGTCTCCACACCAATTTCAACCCCGCAGTAGCCAGTCACCGTTATGAGGATGATAACATGGGCACAATTGGGTTCAGTTCTGCCATACAGTCTTACTGGGCGAAATAGAACATTTTTCTCCACGCCAATCGGTCGCATATCCTAGTCGACCTAGCCGAAATACAACGGGTTCGGTGAATGATTTCCGATGCGGTCAGCGAGTGGTTGTTGTGCTCGAGGCCCCATATTTATTCCCCAGAGCCGAGAAGATCTGCGCCTCAAGGCCTGGGATGATGGGTTTAATTTTTAATGCTGCTCAGAATGCATATAAACTGAGCATGATAGGTCGCTCAAATTACCACCTGATTCTATATTTCTGTCAACAGTTTGGCCCTATTCTTTTTCCTCATGTTTTCTTCCAATGCTGAAGGCAAATGGCTTCTTTACAGAATCACTGCTGCTTGTGGCGCAGGGTTTCTTCTTTTCGGATATGATCAAGGGGTTTACGGTGGCCTTCTCGACAATGACCGATTCCTGCGGACTTTCGGATACCCAAACTCGACTATACAGGGTCAGATGACCGCCACCTATGACATTGGATGCATCGTAGGTACATTGATATCGATGTTCTGGGGAGATAAACTGGGTCGGCGCCTGTGTATCCTTATTGGCTCCTGTATCCTGCTCGTGGGTGCTGTGTTGCAAACTGCGTCATATTCCCTTGCACAGATGATCGTTGGTCGCATTGTGGCAGGACTTGGTAATGGCATGAACACAATCGCTATTCCTATTTGGCAGGCTGAGACCGCGAAAGCGGAGGATCGAGGGAAGCTCATCGTAGCTCAACTTGTGACCAACATATTCGGAATAGTGATTACCAGTGTATGTTCTCTCTTACCCTTTTGTCTTTCTCCAATGTGCGCAAGTTTTTTTTTTGTTTGGAAAATTTTCAAAATAACGTAGCAAATATGCAGTGGATGAATTATGGCTTCACATTCGTTCCCAATTCCGACATCAGCTGGCGATTTCCTCTTGGATTCCAATGCTTCTTTGCGCTCATTACTGTGGCCCTGGTTCTGATATCTCCGGAGTCTCCCCGCTGGCTAGTAATGAAAGACCGTGTCAGCGAAGCCCGTGAAATAGCTGCTCGATTCATGGCCAGATCGACCGATGACCCTGTAGTTATCCATCACATTCAAAATCTAGTTGCAACTGTTGCCCATGAATCGGAAGTTCAGCAATCCCTTCCGCTTAAAGAAATCTTCGCTCGTGACAGCAAACAATTTACCCTACGCCGAATGCTGCTAGGCGCAGGGACTGCCTTTTTTCAACAGGTTGGAGGAACCAACGTCATTGCATATTACCTTCCGGTAATCCTCACTCGCTCAGTCGGCCTCAGCAGCCGCATGGCATTGATTCTGACTGCAGTTGACTCGATTTCCCTAATGTTCTGGGGCACTATGGCTTCGTTCTTGATTGACCGCGTCGGACGTAAACGACTGATGCTGATGGGCGCTTCTGGAAGTTGCGTTTGTTTTGCATTGGTTGCTGTTGGGCTTTGCTACGGCGGGGCAGATAAAAAAGGCATGTCAGTTCTCGCGGTGGGTTTCATTTTCCTATATTACGTTTTCTATGGGATGTCCCTTCTATCAATCCCATACATTTACCCAGCAGAGATCAACTCTCAAAAAATGCGGAACATTGGCACATCTTTTGCTACAACTGTGAATTGGCTTTTTGTATATGTCGTGGTTGTCGCCACTCCCACTGCGATAGAAAGGATTCAGTGGAAGTACTATATGTTTTATGCCATCTTCAATTTCTGCTTCCTTCCTATTATTTGGTGGTTTTATATCGAGACTGCTAATCTTTCCTTGGAACAAATCGATCTTCTGTTTGAGTTGAAACATGAAGCAGGAACCACAATGAGCTGGAACGAAGCTACCAGAATCGCTCGAACCGAACAGGGCGTTAGCCTGAGTGTCCCTTTGGGGAAGGAAGACAAATCCGAGCCAGAGCACTTTGAGATTGTGACGTGAGAATTCCTTTGCTTGCTTAATGTTTTAAGTCTATTTTTGAAAACACTATCGCGGCAATTTATATGGCTCTACAAACTCTTAAACAACTATTTATTGCTGCATCGTTCTTTAAGCATTGACCCCGGTCTCGAACTAGCCTATAGATATTACAATTCACGCAAACAATAATGATCTACTTTTTCAAGTCTTTATACCTATAGCACTCGGATTTGTCTCCGGGCGCGATAGAAGAGTAATTTGAATACAGCTATCTATAAGGCAAAATATGACTGATACCTAAACCTATACTTTATACCTAACAATATATTTGCCTATGTCTAGTCTACGTTAATGTTAAAGAATAACTAATTATACAGGGTAGAAAGCCCGTCAACTAGGTAGGAAGATAAATGTTAAGTAAGGAAGGCAAAACACTGTTTCTTGCTATCATGGATCTCTCTATAATCCTTATTTTATATACAGGCTTCAGCACTTTCCTATATATCCAAAGCAAAGGCGATAGATCATATTATAATATACGGTCTGACGTGACCTATAATAGAGGTAAGCGAAGGCTACAGGAAAGAGGGATTCACGAATCCCTAATAGAAGGGCACCGAACCCTTAGGGCCTTTAGGTCATGCATCTATGTTAGGGAGAAGTAGGGCTATCATAACGAAGCCTGACCGATAAGGTGTCGAACTGACACCTAAGGCATTGAGTTGGGAATAGCCTCATGTTGCAATATCATATGACAACTTAGTAGTTATCCCGTAACTACTTCGTCGACTAACTAGGCGCCCTTTAACCATATACATCTTCGATTGAACGGACTGAATCTTAAAAGATTAAGAAGAGGTAATCTCAGATCTGGGACTAAATGTACTAAATTTGCTGAAGAATAATATAGGAAACATAACAGGCCAAGCGGGGTGGGAGGGGTAAGGTATTAAGGTCGTAATGGAAACATGCCATGCGGAAACCTTTACACAGCCTTTTCCAAACCCAGCCCGTTCATTTGCTAAGCTAACACGATTAAAAGTAACCAGCATCTACTTGTGATGCCAGCAGCTTTCCACTAGGTGCTCAAAGTCACAGACGCTAGTCTTCGCCTGAAACGCAGTTCCCGGGCCGCAAGTCTTCAAAACCGGTTTTCCACCCACAGGGCATTCGTAGAATCGATGGCAGTTTTCAGAGTCGGCCCATGCCACAGAGCCAGTAGCAGTGTCGGAGACTGGTTTCGCTGTCACGGTAGAAAAGAGGATGAAGGCCATTATGGCGTTGATTGGTTGATAGATGAATTGCATAGTGTCGACTGTGGCTGAGTTAGTTACAACGATAGAAAAGCGTCGAAAGGGTAGGCTAGACGTAGTTACTTGATGTATGCTGAATAATAGTGGAAAAGGAATCCTGAACGTAAATTGAGCCAAAGTGCTGAGGATTTCCAAGGACTGCTGATTGTGAAGAACTAGATGTGAGGCCGCTGGGGTTATAGTCCTCAATTTATTCTATGTCGGCTAATTCCTTTATATGTCACGAGAGAATCCATTCCTATCGTCGGCTACTGTGCCCTCATGATGACAAAGGGGGCCGGGTGCATATTTGGGCTGGAATTTGCTTCAATATTGCCCCACAGATTACTAGCACTTGGAATTCAAAAACAACCTAAGCATTTAAAGAAAGCTGTCAAAATTGGCGAGAAAGGCGGAGTAGTATGATGGTGCTTATGCTCAGCAAGACCTGTTCTTATCGCTATCTTCGGAATGGTTTCTAATCACGTCCAGATAATCTCACCGCCTCTTCAAGCAACCTTAGAGTTTATAAAACTGTTTGACTTCCTGGCTGTCCATGTCCCACATGCCATCAATACTTGGCGCTTTTGTATTAGCTATAAGAAAAGTTATTACAAGCGAGTGGTCGTCGGCAAATATTTCCGCAGTTCATTCGAGCTACTCTCATATCTGGTTGGTTAGCTGTGTGCCTAATTTATACGTGATTTGCTTGTTATTTTCGATATTATGGGAACCTAGTCATCAAAGCCCCATTTTCCCGGCACAGGATACTAGTCATATCCATTACTTTTCTCGCCGTACTCATGGCTGATAGGCGTAGTCCATTCCAGGTGCAATACTAATATGTACTGAGACGGCTAATTCCGGCCACATTCGCACTGATTACGATTCCAAGATTATCTCTAAACCGTACCGTTGCTATACTACGCCTTCCAGGGCCTTGGATCCCGTTGAGTACCTTGCAGAGAATGCCAGAGTGCGCGCCAAGTGAGTCCTTAAGTGTTACCACGAAGTGATCTCCCCTACTTGTATGTTACGTTGTCTTGAAGGTGAACTGTGAACTGCGGAATGCTAAAGGTAAATTTCAATATAGGAGGATACAGTATCAGATAGGAAGGCTAGGATATAATAGAATGAGATGCTTACTTTGATGATGTCTAACTATTTAAATATTCAGGCGGGGGTATATTGAAATCCCCCTAACTTGCTCTCTATTGAGTAAAATCAGACTGATACTAGCTTATCTCTTTAGCATAAAATGTATATTAATAGATATGCAAATCGGGAAGTCCAGCAGAAATTGTTATAGAACAACCAAGTGTATAATACTTGATGTTATTCGAGCCGACTTCGGATACGAATCGTATATACGTATAACGATGTATATTCATAAAGAACAAGAAGTTAGAATCGGACTCTTTTATCTTTATCCCTCCAGCAAACAGCGGAATAACAATATTGAGTTCATAAAGGAGAAATCCCTTTCTTTCGAACTGAATCTCTTCAAGATTCAGTTATTAGAATAATACACCTTTACTATTCTTCCTCGATTCTATAACGATTTAATGTTATATTCATTTTTCCTTACCTAACTAACAGGCCGCTACCCTGCAAGCAGCACCCTAACAATAACTACTACTTCCTTACTAGTTCCTGATATCATACAACTTCCAGCTACTATCTAGATTATAATAGGAAGGCCTAAGGGTAATGGGTGGTACTTGAAGCTTTATAATCTCTTTCTACTAGAGAAGATAGGCCGAGAGCTCGTGCTATTCTATAGTATTCTTTCTCGAACTCTACAGTACAGTAATATGAAACACGTAAATCTATCTCCTCTCTTTTCTCTCCCCGTTTACACCTATTGCCTGGGGCCGCCTCATACGCTCACATACGCTATCAATGTATATATTCCAGTCTTCCCTTCACCCGACTAAAGGACCAGGTAATCAAGGCTGCTATTCTTCACCCCCTCTATAGCGCAAATCAACAACCCTAGTCAATATTATATAATGCGACCCCGCCTTAATCTAAGATGAAAGATACCTTTATATTCATTCTTACTTCTTTACTCTAGTTTGTTTTGCTATACTTCCTTTTTACCTCCTTTAGCAGAAAGTATTTATTCTCCATAATAGGATTAGCACAAAGTTCTCCGTCCGCGGTGAACGATAAAGCGCATCCTAATAAAGGCAAGGAACATACTAGTAAGAACGATAATACTCAACCGAAGAACCGTGTTAGCACCAACAAAGCCTCAAAGAATATTCTAGTGATTAGCCCAACCGGGTCAGGTAAGACTGTCTTCATCAGACTTGCAACAGGCGAAGATATTGAACCCAGTCATACCACAGAAACAGGTAAGGCTTTAATACAGAACCCCCGAAGGCACAGAAACTTATTAGAACCTCATTACGTAGATACGGATGACCTTCGAAGTTACTCTACCACCATCGATAGCCAGCCCTTTGCGTTTATTGACACACCTGGTTTTAGTAACCAAGACAATGATAGTCACGTCACAGCGATCAAAATCTGCCACTGGTTGTGTGACTATATCTTTGCATGTGGAGGGGAGGTTTACGGAGTTTTATGCCTGCAAGACATCGGCGTACCGAAGGGAACGCTGGCAATGCAGTGCACTGCCGAGTTTTTGCAGGCGTTAGTGGGAATGTTAAGACGCGTTGGTTCGAGAGGCAGAAAAAATGACCCATGGAGATGACGTCAAGACGCTTCATCACCCACTGGGCCCTATGGTCTCGGAGGCATCCTCCAAGCGGTTTCGACAATTTGTCAAACATGCTCAAGATCAGGGCAAAGTGTCGATCTACGGCGGCAGGAGTGACGGAAGCAAAGGCCTCTTTGTTTAGCCAGTGATTTTCGAGTTGAAAGAATCTGAAAATGTCACGACATCGGATCTTATAACCAAGGAGCTTTTTGGGCTTCTGTTTGCTATTCAAATCTCTGACACTTCTTCAGCCGCTAGGTTTGAAAATGCCTGTGAACGTATTGACAAAACTTCGGAATATGGCTTAGTAGGCTCCGTCTTTGCACATGGTAGGGAGGCTATCGAAATTGTTGACACGAGACTGCAAGATCTGTAGGGATGATCTGTATCGATGAAAAGAGAAACTGGCTTTCGTGATGTGTATGAAGTGGACACAAATACTAAAATGAGAAATTTGAGGCTTAAGTAGGGGAAGGTTTCATGTCAACGGCAGTTGGACATGCTAAACCTTCCTCGTAAACAATCATATCACCCATTCTCTCAGTACATTTGAAATGATCTGCAGGATACCTGTTGCGCTCCGAATGAGACGGTGTATATTTCGCACGCAGCTCGGCTAGGACCAGAATAACCATGCAAATTGCGTGATTTCCTGCTTCATCACGGCCCTGGGATGCTCAGAAAACAATCCGTACGATTATTTCACAATCCATCCATCTATTGAGGTGCATCGCAAGCAATTGACAAAAGCGAAGAAAGGAACCGCCACAATAAGGCATGGCTTGCGACCACAGAGAGTATTCATCTTTAAAGATAAAACCAGGATGGAAGCACTTTCATCCACCAGTCATAATCGTCAAGGCAGGTGTACGGACTTGACAAGGAAAGTTTCCAAAGGTTTACTACATCTTAGCCTGTCTGAAGGAGGGTTTCCTCGGCGGCATAGTACAAATAGGCATCTTCCACGCCCTTCTCTGCTGCTTTTGACAATGTTTGTGACAAAGAAGCTGGGTGGGTATTGCAGAAAGGACGATCCGTCCGTCGCAGGGATATGCAATCAAGTGGATCTGCCGCATCCCAGCGGCGTTCCCATCGATGGATTGTTACCTCGCGGATGTAAGAGGCCAATTCAATCCCACGAAATTCTATGCTCTTGAGAACATCATGACAGTAGTCAAGCTTCCTACGATTCCCGGTATCGATAAAGTGAACTGAAGCCATATTCAAGGGGAAAAACGCAATCTTGGCGCACGACAAATTCATCATCTTTTGGAAACAATAGGGCATTGCGCGAGGTATTTTGTCGGCATATGCCCCTCGAAGAACATACTCCGGATCTTCGAATTGTGATGCAGGATTTTTTCTCGAGGAGGAGCTTGTGTGTGACCGGATTAAAGAGCGTGCACGGTGAATCACTGGCAGAAGAATAACCATGTGGGCCCAGAATAAGGTGTAGAGAATCGCGTTGTGTAATGTTGAAAATTGATATGCAGGGCCGAATAATGATTCCGGAGAAGAGATGTTTATGTATTCAGGCGAGTGCCATTGGGATGGTTCTTTGCCAAGGTACCCCTCTGTTTGTAATTTCATCAGTTTGGCCTGCACCTCTAAGCATTGCTGAAGAATACTTTGGCAAGCTGCCAGATCGGTCTGATTGACTTCAATTGCAGATTTCAGAGACCCTATAGTTGCTGTTGTCTGCACGATTTCCAGCAATGGATCACCATTGGTGGGTTCCATCAGATACTCGTATTCCGATTTTGAGAGATACATCCCTGTCGATGTCAAAGCCTAGTTAGAATTGTTAGCATATTGAATCAATACACAATTCAAAGATTGTGGATCTAGACAGGACGCACCAGATACAACTTCTGTTGATGATGATAAATTATATCAACAATAGGATCGCGCTGTGCTCTGGGCTTGTATTGTTTTAGTAGGCTTGTCATTCCTGCGATATGTGTCCCTAAAGGGCTCACGCCATTAGGAGCATAAAACACCTAAGATTCAATCATCCACCGTTAGCTAGAAGTCTCAGAACGACGGACCAAGTCGAAGAACTGTACATTAATCTCGCAAAAAATCATCGCAATATACAAGAGCTCATTGGAGTAAGCGCCTCGGTGAATCATGTTGGTCATCTGCCGTATCACAGTGTTGTACAAATACAGTCCGTGATTTAAGACTAGCGTATCGTTGTTTGTTTTGCCCAGAAAGAGGCAGGATATTGCCAACACAGCTCGGTCGGTCATGGAGCTTTTCTGAGGAAGGTTTCCGATCTGACAGACCAGAACTTTGTCAAAGCAAGTGCTCGAAGGAGAAGCCTCACTTGTGTAGTAACGCTGGATGAAGGATGAGAAGATTTGGATCCGGATCGCCTGTGCCACGTGGACCGCTGCTGGTAGTCTCAGGGTCACCGAGGTGACTGGACTAGGTAGGGTTTCTAGCTTTTTGCTTCGCGCAGCGAGGCCCCCCGGACGAAATTCCGGTACTTTTCCCATCCTTGGCATTGGATCCTTGATTTGAGGCACCGGCCACATTCGGGCCTTTGTTCATCGCACTTGTTAACTGTTTAGCATCTGGCTTGTTCGGCGGTGCGGGGACACCCATATACCTTGATTTTCCGCTGTCTGCAGTTCACGCATCCCTTTGAAGTCCACGGTCTTCCACCCATTTCCAGGAGCCTAGCCTTCAGGCGCTGTTTGAAGATAAAGAAACGAAATGCAGCGAGCCTTACGGGTAGAAGAGGGAGGGGAGGGGGGGGATGGGGGGGGTGGGGATGGCAAAGGAAAGCGAGCGTGCGGGGGAAAAAGAAAGAGAGCAGTCTATAGAATGAGGGACGATTGCACCGCCTTAACCAATGGGGGCGAAATTCAAACACAGGCCCCTAGCCAATCAGATGATAGCCCTGCAGCATTGAGAGCCCAACCCAACGGATCGTGCCGATCATCGAAGACAACTCTACTACCCCATATGCTGATCTTCGAAACCGACCTGCACCAGATGGGCAATCAATGCCCTATCCTGGGCAAGCCGGCATCCCGTGGAGAGCGGGAGGATCCGTGGGACCAAGTTGGGGCTCGGTTGACCATTTAGCCCCCAAAGCGCCTCGACCTACTCCGTATTGGGAAGCGACTGCGAGATGCCCCCACATTCCCGCAGTTCCTGTCTGAATCGGTTAAGATTACTTTGGATAGAAAGGAGCCTTTCTTTTTAGGCGCCAGCTTGCCCGCAGTCCCTCCCTGAATGAGCCAAGTATCAAGGCTCGGGTTGCATAGCTTCAAACAGCACACCACGAACGTAGCGAGGACTCAGCTCAATGATACGACAGAAAATGGATTTTGCCCTCGTAGCGACTGTTGGAGACCTCTATAAGAGCATGGTCTTGCAGGCGATTTCCTTCGGTGTCGGCCTGTGCTACGAATTCTCCCGTCTCCTTCCCAACCTCGAGTCTTATGAGTGCGACATTCGGCCATGACCATGAAAGAGACTGCAGTCCAGCTGGACGATAGGCAACATGTCATCGCCGTGGATATACCAGAGAGCTCCTCCGTAACCGAGTCGATTGAGAGTTCATCGCCACAATATCTTCAAGGAACTCGACTGTATACCGTGACAGCTACGTAGGTACTGCTCGGTCTCCCAACCCACGATACACATGTTAACAACTTGAACTTGAACGCCCAAAGTCTCTGCTTGTGTTTATTCTTGACGAATCTCGAGATCCCGATCGTTTCAACGGCGCTGGTCAGTATCGCAGGGGACCTGGGCGGGCTGGACAAAATCTACTGGATCACGACTGCGTACATGCTTGGATATGCCGGTACATTGGTGTTACTCTGCAAGCTCTCGGGCTAGTTATATCTATTGGGACGCCGCTGACTGATTTGTGAACGTACTTGAAGGGGTCCTTGTTTTATCTGCAAAGGCCAGTGACATCTTTGGTCGCAAGGCATGTCTTCTTACCGCCCTTATCATATTCGTCATCTTTTCGGCTGCTTGCGGTGCCGCTCAGACGATGAATCAATTGTGAGCTCATTGTTTCTAAGATCACGTTGCACTTGCTGATTACCATTTCGTGATCAGAGTTATCTTCCGCGCATTGCAAGGCCTTGGAGGAGCAGGCAATTACGCTATTTGCTCGATCATCGTTGTGGAGATGGTCCCCCCAGACCAGTTTGCCAAATACACCGGCGGAGTTGCCACAGTATTCGTATTCTCGCTTCTCTTCGGGCCGCTCTTTGGAGGTGCAATTACTCAACACTCGACCTGGAGATGGGTCTTCCTCCTCAAGTACCTCGACAATCTATCTTTTTGTCTTAGCTCCTCAACTAATATGTATTGGCAGTATACCACCAGGGGTTATTGCGGTTATAGCCTTATTTCTGCTATTGCCGAATGGATTCCCTTTTCACCACAAGCCGCGTGAGGCCAGGCGTACCTTTTGGGAATCCTTTATGAATGCATACCATCGGATCGACATTACGGGCGCTTTCTTATTGGTTGCAGCAACTGTCCTGCTGGCAGCTGGTCTTAATGAGGCCGATGAGCGATTCGCCTGGCGATCTGCCTTTACTATTGCAGTTCTAACCATCTCGGGCATTTTATGGGTTCTTTTTCCGCTGTGGGAGCGGCGGGTGACTCTGATGAATTCCCGTATCGAGCCTGTGTTTCCATGGCGATTCTTTTACAATCGTGTGTGGATGGCAATGCTAGTGTAAGTCATCCTCCCAACTGATCCCCAGTTTGCAGTCTAAGACGCTCGATAGAAATGCCGTATTTCTGGGGATGGTTTTCTTTGCAACCATGTTTATAGTTCCCCAGCGCTTTGAGATTGTCAACGGACTCTCCTCTTTCGACGCTGCTGTCCGGTTCATCCCTTTCACGGTGTTTTCCCCCGTCGGATCGATGTTATCCCCGACTCTTGGAAAGGCTTTCAAAATTCCTTTGATGTATCTTCTGATCATGGGTTCGGCAGTCCAAATTCTTGCCTTTGCCTTGCTCGGGACTCTACCCAACGGGTATGATATCCCGACTCGACAATATGGATATCAGATCCTGGCTGGGTTTGGTTGCGGCATAAATATCCCCCTTCTTACTTTAATGACACCCTTTGCCACTGAGAAGAGAGACCATGGTAAGCCAAATTTCTCCCCTTCTCTCCCTCCCAACCCAGACACGTGTGTCCAGAAGGTAGGCGCTAATTCTGATTCCCTTCGGTGTATTAGCGGTTGCCATGGGGGCAATCGCGCAATTTCGAATCTTAGGGGGGTCTATTGGTCTAGCGATTGTCACTGCCGTTCAGCATGGCTATCTGCGCTCTCATTTGCGCCAATCTTTGGAAGGGGCAGGGGACCTGGTGGAGGCCGTCCTGCAGTCAACCTCAGCCATCGCCACGCTTCCCAGTGACACGCAAGATCTCGTCCGTGAGACCTATGGTTCCAGTTACAATCTCCAGATGAAGGTCTTAGCTGGACTGGCAGGGGCTCAGCTCCTTACGTCGCTGATGATGTGGCATAAAAATCCAATCAAAGCAGCATAGGCCTAGGAAAACGTATTGAACCAGGGCGCTCTACGGCAAATCTGAGAATGCAGGCAGGATGAGATAGGTCGGCGAACAGACCAACAAACCACCACACACCACGATAGAGGAAGCTTCCTGAAAGGGAAGCAGAAGCAGATGAAGCAAAGAGAGTGTGAAAGTTGATTCTCTTCCTATTGGAGATGCGAAGCTACGTATATCCTGTAAAGACTGTGTACTAGGAAAGATATCCTCCAATTAGAGATCTCCCTCGTGTTGGCCATTCCCCACTGCAATATCTTTTGTCTTCTTTCCCTACCCGCTCCTCTCCCCGCTAAATATACTTACTAACATCTAGCTACGTATATATAATATAATCTCAATATAAATATTAGAGTACTACTTGCAGGGCAGCAGCCTGTTGGCCAGTCAACAAAAGAACGAATAGCAGCGTTGAATCGTTATCTAATCGAGAAATAATAGTTGTGGCATAATATTTAATAACTGAATATGAAAGAGGTTAATTCCAAAGAAGGGGATTTTCGTCCCGTTTCACCAATATCTGTAGACAAATGACGTAAACGATAGCAAATTGAAGACATCCAATTTAGTCCATGGAATTGGGTCACGTTAACAGTATTGTGATAGCACACTTCCTCGGCTATATTATCAACGCTTTCTCACAAATACACTATACCATGCTGGTTGATGTTTGGAAATATCTAGGTAGAGCTATCGTACATTGCAATGAGGCTACGGAGCCATGTCTCTCTGATTTCCTTTGTCTGTATAGCGAGGAGCTCTTCGCCAGAGGCTTGAACCTCAAAAAATTGATGTCCATTACACAACCTGACTTGAAGCCCATCCTGGTAGTACTGGTCCAAACACTGGCGACAGAGATCGATATCGGGACAGGTTTGACACACAAATCGACCTTCTGTGACTGCCGGCTTCTCTCTACAGAGATCACAAACGGCCCAGGCACTGTCAGGAACACTAGGATCGACCTTAGCATCATACAGAAATGCGATACGGGCCGCGGAGACATCATCGATGTAGAGCAGACACTTTCCCAGCCGGTACGAGGCCGACTTTCCCTCCGTTAGGGCTCGAGTGGCAAGCATCGTGATGCCCTTCTTTAGAGCTGAAATTCGTTTCCCTTCATCGGGTGGAGGAATTGATGAGGGACCATCTCCTATCAGCTTCTCCAGTGTCGGAAGATGTCGAGCGGCCCAGTCCATGGAGGATCGACCAAACCAGTCCAGTTGTATCGGATCAGACCCCAGGGACAACAAGAACTCGACAAGATGGGTCTGCCCAGCTGCTGCCGCCGCATGCAGGGCCGACGACCCATCATGGCAAGCCGTCACATCTATGCCTCGTTCCACCATCAGCTCAATAATGACTCGGTGACCCTTGGTTGCGGCCTTGGACAAGACAGTTCCTCCGCACCAGCAGGGGCTGAGTAAATCGAGGTTCTGGGCGTCGGCCGCGTGCATGAGAACGCGAAATGCATCGGCACTTCCCTTGATGGCGGCATAGTGCAGCGCCGTGTGACCTCCGTCGCGATGGATGGCGCCCACTTCGGCGCCAGCATCTACTAGCACCTGTAGGAGATCTACTTGTCCATTGAAGGCAGCATAATGCAACGCCGTTCGTCCATCCCCTGGAGAGATGGACAAGTCTGCCCCCATCTCCAGAAGCAAGCGGGCGAAAGCAGCACGTCCGTAAAGAGCCGCCAAATGAAGAGCCGTGTTTCCCGACGCATCGAGTGCATTAATCGCGATGCCTGCGCGACAGAGCGATGGGACGACATCAGGATTGTCGCCTGCCACGGCCACATGCAGTACGGTTCGGCTATCTGGTCCCAGCACGTCTACCGTGGCACCATGGGCGAGTAGTGATTCCACGATCTCGATCGTCCCACAATATGCGGCCAGACTGAGGGCGTTGTGCCCGTCTTCTTCCATCAGATTCACATCGGCTCCGGCCTCCAGCAACAACTAGATGACAGTAGCTTGTCGATAAATCACCGCGGTCAATAAAACCGTGGCATCCGCGTCCCCGCGCATGTCCACCGGGACGCCCTGACCCAGCATGAATTTAACCACCTCCTCGCTACCCCCGGCGGCTGCGCGGTGGATGGCCGCATCGCCCTGCTCATCGACTGTGGTGATATCGGCCCCGTGCTCGAGCAGGAGCATGACCGCATCCATGTGTCCGTGTGACGCCGCGATGTGCAACGGGAGCCGGTTTCCCTCACGAAGGAGATGCGCGTCGCCGTCATACTGTAATAGAAGGGTAATCATTTCGCATCTTCCCTCATATGAGGCCAAACGGAGCATGGAATTGATGGCGTCGTGGATCATGGGGGCGGCCGGATGGTCCCGCGGAACGCCCGCAGCAGCCTCGAGAAGAATCCGAGCCATCGATTCATGGCCTCGCATCACCGCAGCCTCAAACGCACATCCCCACTCCCAATTCTCCTTCGATGGGGTGGCCACACTCCCAGCGCCAGATGCGAGAAGCAGGCGGAGGACCAATTCCTGGTCATGCGCCACCGCCCATTGGAGCGGCGTATGGCCCTCATCATCAGGCAGAGAGACGGGCACGCCAGCTTCCAAAAGCATCTGGATGATCTGTTCTTGCCCTGCCGCCGAGGCATCATGAATGGCAGCTCGGCCATCGATGAGTTTCGCGGGGTCGGGGTCTTGCTGCACAAGCTTTTGAACGCAGGCGACTCGGCCCTGCCTAGCCGCCCAAATCAGGGCCGTGTCGCCGTCGTTCCGAATCAGGGTGGGTGCCTGGCCATACAGCTCCTGCGAAAGGAGCTCATGAAAACGATGGGCCGTCTGGATGAGGGCGTTGAGGTCGGAGATCCCGAGATGTGCCGCCACTCCCAATATGATTTCACCGGGATGATGGACAAATGACGGGGTAGTAGATGATGCCATGGCAGCATGAGGTATGCAAAATTGAAATCATATCACATCTACCGCTGGACAAAAACACAGGACACGGAGGGCGGATGGAGTGCGAATACGAGCGGTGGATCTCATTCTACTGTAGGCTTGCCATTCGAATAATGATCGACATGTCGTCCCGACCGGGCGAGTTGATGTCTCGTGATAGATTGGAAGCAGAACCAGTTGATATGGCATCGACCTCGTTCCTCGCTGCTATGGCTAGTGCAAGATAATTCAAATTGCATTGTGATCATCAACCAATTCATCGGTTGATCCTACCAGACTTCATTTACTTAGGAGATATTTCCCGACTCCTAGTTAGGTTATGTTAGGCAAATAAAGTGTTGAAGATTCCATTATAGGCGGCTATAGGCGGCTGAATAATGTTACAGACATGTCGATAGTTCTATAATGTTTTTGCGGGTGCCTTGTTCGCTACAGGTAAAGACGTATTCCAAGGGGCAAGCGGCAGATAGCAAGAGCGATAGTCCGTTGAGAATCAAGCGAAAACAAAAAGAATTGGAATAAATACTAAGCTGGATTATAAACCACTCAATTGAAGTTTTCCGAGATTTGCCAGAGACCTCTAAACTAAAAATTGAGGGTTAGATATATCCCGCAACTATATAGAGATGGTATTGTGGATGGATCGGTCGAATAGTGGCGCAGTCGCTGCCAAAAGATTTTACCCCACTATACATTTACCTCGTAGGTGAGGTCACTTTCTCGAGATGCTTAGTAATCAAGAGTATCGAGCTTATATAATAATCAGGTTGTCCTCGGGTCAAGCTTACAGTAAACAGACCATATGTATTGTAGAAAACAAGTCTGTTCAACTTCAAACGCCCGTACGGACGCAGGATTTCGGTCAAGGGCATTACGGTTTCAGATGGTGATATAAATAAACGGATTTGACCAGAATTCAATCTATAAACTAGTAGAGAGGTGAAATTTCCTCAACTCAGAGTCAACATTGGAGGAAAACCAATGGCGGGTGGTGAAAAATGAACCAGAAGTTTGTTTCAATGGGGGGTTGCTAACACGGTTACCGTTGATTCTAATTCGTTGATCAAGCTAAAGGAAGTGGTCCTGGAGAGATAATTGGCCTGCTATTGTAAGAATGGAGGCGCTAGAAAAGGGGGGTTGATTGAATAGGATTGGCCAAACAATACGGCCCTCTCCACTTAGATATTAGGTCCGTGCATTTTCCTAATACCCTCAGAGCCCCCAGGTCTCTAGGAAAAGATTATTACAGGGTACAGTCTGCCTCTAAAGACAACGCTGTGGGTACCTCCACTCCATTTCGAGTCCTTGGGCCCGATTGGACCACTTGAAAACGGATCCTTCCTCATTTCCTGCGACTCTACTGATGTCTACAGGTCTAGCCAACTAAAGATGTCTGGGGAGTAGTTGCTCTCTAGAATTGCCGCCTTAATAGTGGCTGTTCTGGCTGTCCGACATCTACGTAGTGCTCCGTACACAGTCAGTGATATATTGCTGGACCTATTTTTAATAGGCCCAATGAGAGGCTTTGTTCCTGGGTACCATGGTTTCTTCCTAACCCTCTTTGAGCTAGAAAGCTGATGAGATGAAGCTCTCGGGAATAGGAAGTCAAAAGGAAGAAAGGCAGAATCACCATCGAGATAGCATTACAACAAGGAAATCACATGTTTGTGTTGAAGCTGTCCAAACCGTCCGACCAACCGACGCGCACCTTCTTTAGGATACTTCCGGGCGGCAACGACGCGGTGGGGATGATAACTTTGCCTGCACCTTCGTTGGTAAGCACAGGATGGGCAACTTGCTCTTTCCCCTAATTGTTCCTTATTCATATTAATAGCGAAACGATTCTCGGCATTTATAGCGTGTGCTCGAGCCTTGATTGCAGCGAAGTTGGACATCAAATTAGCCTGAAGTGTCTCCCATCCCTGACACCATGTGTATCCCCTTGGTTGGGGATATAAGTGTCAATGTGGGCATCTTCAAAAAAGGCTATTCCGGCACAGCCGGAGAAGACGTGAGGTAAGTATATGGCCTGCGTCGTTGACGTGCGCACTCGAGATCAGGTTCTGTAATACCGGAGCACGGCGAAGCAGAAGGCCGCAGCATTCTTGCAAGTCAATGCTAGGGACAGGATCCAGGCTTATGGAAGACCTGGTGGAGAAGGTTATCTTATTATGACGGCGTTTGAGTAAAGCCTGTAGTAATCTTTGGATAATAGCTCAGTGCTGACCAGGATCTGGGTATTGATAATGAAACTGTCGACACTGAAGCTTCTTTCAAGAGCCTTGGAGAGAACCTGCTATAAATAATTGTCTAGGAAATATTATCTGCCTCTGAACCCCACTACAAACAATACTAAGTATATTTTATCTAAGCTTGATATATAGCTTGAAAAGCTCTACTGCGGGCCAAGTAAATTCGCTAATCCTATTGATTCAATAAGAAATACTACACCATCAAATCACGAGATATCTTACTGGTAAGGGTTAACATTCAGAAAATCTAGATCTCTAGCCTATCTAATATAATTAAACCAAGCTTGCTTAATAGCCGCGGGCTAAGCCTAACTCTAAGCCTACATTTCTGTGTTCTGTATACAATAATGCATGATATAATATTAATCAGTGCCATACTAGGCACCCTAGTCGGGAATCAAATGTTTAGTCTTGTGGTATGGTCTAGGTTCCAATATTCAATAAGCGATGGAGTGTTTCGCTGACTCATGAAATACGTTGTGTCCTGTATCCTGGAGAAGTGGAATACAAGTAAATTCGCTCGCTGTGCAGTAAGCGACCAATGAACGCGTGTCACGACGTCTATCACCCCGTTGGAAGATAAGATGTAAGAATATCTGTACCTTGGTTAGTATACAAATTTTTTCATTTGTCAATAGACATTAGTGGGTTGAATTAGTGTATCAACGCGGATATCGGTTGTCCACAAAGTTCTCAAATCGCCCGTTGTGCATCACCAACCCGTGGATTCCCCTGAAATCAACCCATGGGAACAAAGAACCTTTGGAGTAAAAGTGGTGATTCATAATTTCCAGGTTTCATCAAAATTCATCATATTTGACCTATTTCTTCTGCTAAAATTTGATTATGCCAGACTCCGAGCTTATTTTCGTGCCCGATGCCTCCCCTCCCCCACCCCCACAACCTCACCTTCAACATTCAACTGAATCAAATATCTTAAGTCGCCTACGGAAGACCTAATCGGGCGACCGAGGAAACTCCTCTCAGCAAGAGAAATGAATTCGACAAACCCTGAAAATCCAACGCCATGGTTACAGACAGCAAATCAGGTTTTGGTTGCGACCGGACTTGCGATGAGTACTAGCTGCCTTGTGATGCGACTGTATACTAAGACGGTGATAATGAGGAAGTTCTGGTGGGATGACGGTACAGTATTTGATTTCATTAATTATCTCAGGCTTCTGCGGACAAATAATTAATTCAAATAATGACATAGTGTGCATAATCATTGCCTGGGTAAGGAGAGCATTCGCAATCTCCCCGGATTGAATTAACTTGGTCGTCTGGATAACGAAGGTTTTTTCCATTGGCACCCAGGCAACAATATTGTGTAAGTCTCCGTATCGAACTCTTGTTGATTTTAGTTTCAAAATCCTCGCTTATATGAAGCTATATAATAGATGGTTACGCTCGCGCTGGTATCGGACGTCATGTTATCGACTTATCTCCATCAACTATAGTCATATTATTAAAAGTATGGATCCTAACGTCCCATTCACTCATTTCGAGATTTTGAAATGCTCAACTATGAATCTCCCATGACATGAAGGTTGTTCTAGCTGCAGCAATTATTTACATTCCCTGCCTCGCATTCGCAAAGCTTGCCTTGCTCATGCTGTACTACAGGCTACTCAGCACTGTGCGAGCCTGGACGTACACCATCTATGCCATCGCGGTCATTATCTGTGGATATAGTCTAGCACTCGCCTTAGCTCTTATTTTTGCTTGCAACCCCATTCAGAAAAGCTGGAATATCTTCGTTTCCTGGGGTTCCTGCATTGATAGACCTGCCGTATACCTTGCAACCGCCATCACGAATACTATTAGCGACTTGGTTCTAATCATTATCCCCATTCGGGTGGTATGGGGATTGCGAATGCGCTTCATTTCGAAGTTGGGAGTGATGGTTATGTTGGGCATCGGGTGTCTGTAAGAAGTCCTCCTTGATTGTTAGGAAAAGGCCTCGATCAGAGGACCCTCATTCTCTATCCTTGACCATCGATGCTAAGTTTTAGCTTCTTCAAGAACCATAGTCACAAGTATCCTACGTTTAGCGACTTTGTGGCCTTTAGTGACATCGTCGGATGTCTCTTACAAGATTGCTCTTGCTAGCATATTCATGTAAATACTGGTGCCTATCTTTTTCCTTTTTTTCCAGTTTCACAGTTGACTGACAGTGAATGGAAATTTTACAGCAACCTCGAAGCCAACTTTATCATTATATGTGGCTCTCTTCCTTACCTCCGCCAATTTCTTCGCTTCTACGCACCAAGATGGGCTGGCGGCTGGATATTCAAACACAAAAAAAGTGTCTCTTCGACTCTAGCCCAAAGACCGAATGTCCGAGAGCCTGGAAATTACCATCATCAAGAAAATTTCGGGATCACTAGAAGTCAGGGAGCACACATCCCCGAAGATCAGTATGAGTCGTATCAAATTTCAGAGGCTGGTGTAGGTCAAATGTCTACAAGTCTATAAGACCTCCAAAATTGTAAGGAATCAATAGCCACAGGGAAATTTTGGTTACAGTCTTCTGGAACAAAGCGCCCTCCGACCTTCAAATCGCAATTTTTGGCAGGACAACAGTGGCTTTGGTAACTGCGCGATTGCCACTACATCGGCTTAAAAGCAAGCGTTGATTGTATCTGCCCAGAATTCGTGGCAGCAATCTACACTCGAGATAAACGAAAAGATTTTTTTTTTCGCTGTGCTGAGCGACATTCCTCGATA